TCGGGAGAATATCCTTCCCCCCCCCCCCCAAAAAAAGGAAGGGGGCCATGCAGTGCGATATGGGGCAGCAGCCATTAAAAACACAAAATGATTTAGCAGCCGGGGCCCCCCCACTTTGAAAAAATGTACAAGCAAGGGAGCGGGGTAGTGGGTTCTCTGTAAGGCCTTGCATCATCGGTGTTTCCCATTAAGGTTGCTCGTTAAAGAATGTTGCTAAAGCCTTAAATCCTAGGCAGGCAAGAACACGGACGGATGCCTGGTCTTTATAGAAAGGTAGTTGTGGAGTAAATTAGACAGGAGTTCAGTATAACCTTAAAAGGCTAACAAAATGTATTTCAGAACAAAGTTTGAGTCCTGTAGCACCTTTAAGACCAACAAAGTCTTATTCTGGGTAAAATTTCGTTGGACTTAAAGGTGCCACAGGACTCAAACTTTGTTCTGCTGCTTCAAACCAACATGGCTGCCCAACTGAATTTGTCAAAATTGATTTCAGTAAGGGTCACAGCTCACTTCCTCAGATGCATAGAAGTGTAGGAGAAATGTCTAGTATGTGCTCTTCAGTCAAAGAGAAAAGATGAAAAGAAAAATGAATTTGAGAAAAGCTGAAACTAAGAACCATGATGAATATGGATAAGGGGACTGTACTGGTGCCAGCAGAAAGAGGGACAGGAGCTGGAGGGGAGTGAGTAGTTTGTGAGGTCAAGCAGGAAGGAGAAGGAAACTGAAAGAATGAAGATATACTCAACTCTGCGTGTTGAGAGGGCAGGATTGGTGAAGTGGGCAAAACGGGCCTGAGTGAAAATTTTATGCATGGTTTAGGCACAGAGGTGGGCAGAAAAGAAACCTGGAAGAATGGACTCAGAAGGCCCAGCAGGTGGTGGATTCATATCACACACTGATTTGAAATAACTCTTGGAACATTTGACTGGAAGGCTGTGATTAATTTTATTTTCATCTCAATTCTAATATTTGCTGTATTTTTATCTGGCTTTTTCTTGTCCTAAACCTTCAAAGAGAGTCAAGTTATTGAGAGAATTAGTAGGCACAGTGATGAACAAAAACTACTGAGGAAGACTCAACATGGGTTCTGTAACCTGTTAGTGTTCTTTGAGGGGGTGAACAAACATGTGGACAAGGGGGACCCAATAGATGTTGTTTACCTTGACTTCCAGAAAGCATTTCCTCATCAAAGGCTCCTAAGCTCAATAGTCACGGGATAAAAGGACAAGTCCTCTTGTGGATCAAAAACTGGCTAATTAATAGGAAACAGAGAGTGAGTATAACTGGGCAGTTTTCACAGTGGAGGGTGGTAAGCAGTGGGGTACTGCAGGGCTCAGTACTGGGTCTAGTGCTTTTTAACTTGTTTATTAATGATTTGGAGTTGGGAGTAACCAGTGAGGTGGCTAAATTTTGCAAATGGGGTTCAGTGTGAGCAAGTGCAAAGTGATGCACATTGGGGCCAAAAGTCCTAACTATAAATATACATTGATGGGGTCCAAACTGGTGAAGACTGACCGAGAGAGATCTTGGAGTCGTAGTAGATAACTCACTGAAAATGTCAAGACTGCAATAAAAAAGGCCAACACTATGCTTGGGACTATTAGGAAGGGAAGTGAAAACAAATCA